TTTAATGCTCACATCAATGTTGAGTATTGTAATTCGGTAAAGTCCATAAAATATATTTGTAAATATGTTAACAAGGGCAGCGACATGTCAGTATTCGGATTAGCAAATCGAGGTGATGAGATCACGCAATATCAAACAGGGTGCTTCATCAGCAGTAACGAAGCAGTATGGCGGATATTTGCATTCAATATTCACGAACGATATCCAACGGTTCAACATCTCGCTGTTCATTTGGAAAATGGTCAGCGGGTTTACTTCATCGAAGAAAATGCGCAAAATAGAGCAGAGCAACCACAAACCACAACACTGACTGCTTTTTTCGAATTGTGTACATCCGAAAATTTTGCTAAAACGTTGCTGTATCAAGATGTGCCCAAATATTATACTTGGAACACATCGACAAAAAAGTTCAACAGAAGAAAAAGAGGTGCAATTGTTCCAGAGCATCCTGGTATATATTCGTCCGATGCATTGGGACGTGTGTATACTGTTCATTCAAATAACGCTGAGTGCTATTATTTGCGGTTGTTGCTGCATACAATCAAAGGGCCGACATCATTCCTTGCATTGAAAACCATCGACGGAGTAGAATGCCAAACGTACAGAGAAGCGTGCTATAAACTGGGCTTACTTGAGAATGATCAGAATTGGAACACAACTCTGACCGAAGCATCACTCACGTGCCATCCAAAGCAAATACGAACTTTGTTTGCGATAATTTTAACAACATGCGCACCATCGAATCCTCGACAACTGTGGGAAATGCATCGTGCAAGCCTCAGTGAAGATATTCTAAGACAAGCACGTGCAAGCGATCCAAGTCAGGAATATTCGGATGACATTTTCAATGAAGCTTTAATAGTAATGAAGGACTTATGCATGTCAATCAACAACAAAGCTCTTTGTCAACTCGGTATGCCAGCACCGACACGAGATAGAAATGCTGTACAAGACAGAGACTTGATGCATCGTGGAAAAGACCAATCGATGGGAGGCGCTCTTATACTTCTTGCAGGTGATTTTCGTCAAACATTACCCGTTATACCACGATCAACGCCTGCAGACGAGTTGAACGCGTGCTTAAAGGCATCGCATCTGTGGAACTATGTCGAAAAAATTACGCTCACAACAAATATGCGAGTGCATTTGCTGCAAGATACGTCTGCCCAAATATTTTCAAAGCAACTTTTAGATATCGGAAACGGTAAAGTTCATATTGATCGCACAACAAATGAGATATCATTTCCGTCCAACTTTTGTCAAATGCAGCAGAGCATTCAAGACGTCATCGACAGAGTATTTCCGAACTTAATGATCAACTACCGAATTCCGGAATGGCTCCGCGAACGTGCAATTTTAGCTCCGAAGAACGATGATGTTAGTAAATTAAACGGTCAAATTCAATTGAAAATTCCAGGAGAAGCAGTCGAATATAAATCGATTGATACAGTAATGGACAAAGATCAAGCTGTTAATTACCCAACTGAATTTCTTAATTCTTTGGAGCCACCTGGAATGCCTCCTCATTCGTTGGCGTTAAAAGTTGGATCACCAGTGATGCTTATTCGGAACTTGAACGCGCCGAAACTGTGCAACGGAACCAGAGTGATAATAAAAAAATTAACACCGAATTTGATCGAGGCAACAATCATCAGCGGTAAATTCAAAGGCGAAGATGTGCTGATTCCACGTATACCGATGATTCCCAACGATTTACCGTTCGAATTCAAGCGGCTTCAATTCCCTTTGCGTCTTGCCTTTGCTATAACTATAAATAAAGCACAAGGGCAATCATTAACTATTGCGGGTTTGGATTTGAAAAATTCGTGCTTTTCACATGGCCAATTATACGTCGCCTGTTCACGAGTTGGGACACCACAAAATTTATATATTTACACACCAAATGAAAAAACTAAAAATATTATTTATTATTATTATTTATTTATTTATTTAAATACATGTGTTTTTCTTTGGCGTAGCAACGCGCGCCGGGTATTGCTAGTTATAAAATAATCTCAGATTAAACCAACCTAGGTTTATCGATTATACTTGCGAAGAAGATGAGGAATGTCAAATGTAAAAGTAAAAAAAATTTGAGGCTAGCAAGGAAAAGAGGTTTGCCAAGGTATTTTTAATAAAATATTAAGTTTAAATATATTTAAATAGCATAATGTGTAGCAAAAAAGTAGCTACGGTGGCACAGAGAAGAAGCTTAACTTTTCCTCGAGTTGTGTGAATAACAAGCACAACTAGTGATAAGACGATACGAGTACTAAGTACAGAATATCGATACTTTTCATGAGAACTGAGTAGTATCGAGAACTCGATACTTTTTGACAAGTACTGAATAAATATCACGAATACCAAAAAGAATCGACATGCTAAAGCTTTTTTAATAAACAAATTTTTAAAAATTACATACAAAATTTCGTTCTTTCAATTACATTGAAAATTTTTTCAAAATTATACAACATCATTGTAGCGAACAGTCGAAAATTATCTACATCCAATATTAATGTCATTTAAACTCGAGAAACAGCTTTAAGGTTTTGAATTTACAAATGCTCCCAAAGTACGTAGTACATAAGATGTCATTGCGACGTTGGGCTCGGTTAAAAATTCTTGAATAATTGGAAAACGAATCTCTTGATTTCAACGCGAGTTTGTACTGATTGTCAAAATGATGTGTTTGTTGTATTTTGCTTTGTTCTGATGGTCAACAGGCTTATAATTTGTTGGTGTTTCTTGGGCTGCCGCTACCACTTTGTATGAATTCGGATTAAGCTTATCTTTCCTTTAGATAATGGCTTTCACCACATTTTTTTTTCTGGGTTTCTACATTTCCATGTCATTTTCAAAGTAAAGTGATTTATAAAAACATACTTATAAAATATTTGCTTTTAAAAACTTTGAGTAAAAAATATTTATTTTGTGCTTGTAGAAGTAAACTAATTACATGTTTGTTCCAAAAACTCCTTTAGAAATGCTTGTTCGATCAGGTTTCAACTATTAAAAGCAATGCCTGTTTAATTTACAAATAGAAAGAGGCCATAACAACAAAACAGCCTTATGTTCACTTTTCGCGTTTGCCCTAAAAATATTTGAAAGTATGAGCATTATCGACACTTTTTTGCAAATATGAGTACTGGCATCGATTTTTCTTTACAGTATTCTAAATGAGTACTAGTATCGATACTATTCTAAAAAGTTCTATCACTAAGCACAACCAATTTGACAGCTAACGAGCTTTCATTGGGATTATATTTATATGTAAACGTACTGTTACGATTATCCTTGAACCCTCGTCCGGATTACCCAAATATGCTCGGGCTCGTATCGCTGGATTGTTAAATAAATGCTAACGTTGACCAAATTGTAGTACAATTAACTTTATTGTACAACAAACAATTTACAATACTTGCTAATACAGTAAAAAAA